AATTAAAATTGGGGCACTTTCCAAAGTTTTTTATGGGATCTTTCTGTAAGCAACAGGGACTCCCTCATAAAACAGACAGTGACCAGAGGTAGGCAATTAAACAAAGTTGTTTTATGGGCTCTTTCTTTGGGCACTGAGGACCCTCTCCCATGCTTAGGCCTTGGGATGAAGGCACAGTTTCAAGGCTTTCCTTCCCAGATAGTGGAAATGCTACATAAAATTTCAAGGACTTCCCTTCTTTCTTGCTAACATAGTGTTTCTTGTAATGTTGGAACACCTGGCAATATTATCAGACCAGGCTCAGGACTGCTAAGTTAGCATGTGAGACTTATCTCCCTCCTTCCTGTCTTGGTTTGCTATTTATTCTACCTGATTGGTAGAAGGTGTTTCCTGGCAACCAGGGTGCTAAATGCTTGCCAGTAACAGTATCACAGTCTCAGAGTTCTTCCTTCTGCTGTCCCCTGCTTCACAGGGGGGGGCTCTGGGAGAAGGAGGGTCCATTCAGTAATAGTATTTTGTCCTCCCCACCTCGGGTCTGTTCTGTAACAGTTTTTGGAGACTCTGGTGGGACAATAATTGTCTGTGGCAGACCGATCTTCTCAGGTGTGGGAGAGTGAGAATTAGGAATTTTCCCAGTCTCTGAGAATTTCTCTGCACTCCTCCTGAGGGCATTGGCCAACTAATCATGCCTGGAAAGGTGGAAAGGAAATGGATCTCAGAACAGAGCAGAGAAGTGAAATAGTCTGGTTGAAAACTTGTTTCTGAACACGATTTTGGAATAATGGAGTTGTGGATAATGGTTTGGTTAGTATGCTGCTTCCAGATTTCCCCAGTCTGCTCACTTACAGTTTTGGTGAGCCCAGGTGGCACTAAGGGAACCTGTACTCAGGTTTGGGGAGGAAGCAAACCCCTAGGCTCTGTAAGCTGAGCCTGCATGTATGTTGGGGATTGGACACCAAGCCATGTGGGTGAGCCGCCATTTGGGGCAAAATGTAGGATAGCCAAGTGCTCTACCATGAAGGACGGGTCATGAGTGGGCACCACCATCTTGGATGACCCAGCATGCATGGGCACTGCTGTCTTGGATGATGGGTCACCTGAGAGTTCTGCCATCTTGGAACTGGGCAAAGTGGTGGGCTAAGGGTTCTCTTCAGATTATGGACTGTGTGTTGTGGCTGCGTGGGCACTGCATCAGTCAGGTTCTCTGTGCAACTGGTTCTGATAGGGATGGCTCTGGTTCTGAAGATCATGAACTGGGGTCCAAGGGTGACCATCTGATTTATAGGGTGTTTGCAAGATCTAAGCTTCAGAAAGCTGCAGGATGTCCCTGCGAATCTAGGGACTTTTAGTGAAAGGTACCTGTAGTGCTAGGGACTTTTGGCTGCCAGATACTGAGTTTAAGTATAGTCCTTCCCGGTGTGGAAAAGGAACAGGGATTAAAATTGAATTATGGTTAAATCGGGAAGGGTAAAACTATGTAGGAAAGGTGAAAGTTTTAAACCTGGAGTAAAGGAAACCTCAACTACTGGTTTTCTGGTTTTGTGGGAATGTGGTTTCAGTTTGGTTTTGTTTCTGATCAGAAATCTTCTATATTTGAAGACCTAGTTAAGGTCACCTGTAAGACCTAGGAAAGGTCACCTGTAACCAGTTAGGGAGAATGCATTTGCCACTTGGGACTCAGGGAGGGTCATTCTGGGCTGATGAGTCTTTCAGCCTGAGGCAAAGGAGGATGTCTCTTCCAAGAGACTGGGTCTGAAAGAACATGTCTCTGTGGAGGCACCAGTGGACAAACTGGTACAAGAAAATGCCTCTACCTGTGTACTGTTCTTCTGGAACTCTGTGTTTTGAATTTTGCTCTGTATCTGCTCTGAAAAAGAAATGAAGGTTTCCAGGGAAGGTTAAAACGTTCCACTCTGTAGGAAAGTGAACAAGGGAAAATGTAAGACATGTAAATGAAGAAGGTGTATAAAAGGATATAGAAAGTTTGTGAATGTTGCAGAAGATCTATGGGAAGCTATGAAGATAAATGGAAATGTGAAAGTTTTGAACTTAAAGGAGAGAAAACTTCTGCTAACTCAAGGTTTTCCAGAGAGCATGAGGCATGGAAATGAAGAGGGTTTGCAAAGGTTGTAGAAGTTTGTGGAAGTTTTGGAAAGAAATTATATGGTGTTAGTAATGGAAGGTATTAGGCATGGAAATGCAATCTTGATGGATATCAGAAGGAAAAGGATTTTCCTTCACCCTTTGTATTTTTCTCCCTAAGTGATCCCTCCAGAATTTGGCATATGAAAGGAATGAGTGAGGACATAAGGTTTCTTTGCATAAATCCAATAAGGCCAGTCATTAATGGTGGTTTTGTTAACCAAGATTTTGACTGGCATATCACACCTGGAGGAAGTATGTCTGGGTTCTTGTTGTCACCAGAAAGCCCTGAGGAACTGGGATTGACTTGCAAAGCTAGTGAAAGCCCATGAGAAAAAGCCTGGTACCTTGGTTGGTTGTGCAGTTTGTGGTAGTCTTTCCAGGGAAGGAATGAAGGTTGCTTTTCTGAGAGATGGCTAAAAAGGAACCTGTAGGCACAGTGGAAGCCTCATGGATTTGAGTGAAACAACTGGTACAGGTAAAGCCACATGGCAAATGTGGCTCTGCCCTGGTGCTCCAAGGGGTGGATTGAAAAGTCAATCTAAAGGGTCTGTGTGTGAGTTCTAGCAAAGCAGACTTAAAGATCATAGGTGAAGGAAAATCACAATGCTCAGCTTTGGACATCAAAATGGCACAGCTGATTGTCTTGAAAGTTTATTTTCATTTGGAAGTTGATACTGGGTTTGTAATATTACCAAAGATGTTCAATTTACAGGCATGAAGGACCTGTCACATTGCTACTGTTAGATGTCATTGCAGCAAAGACCTTGCAACTGGATGTCTTCCCAAAACACAGTCTCACAGGCATAGAGAACTGGCTTGGGGATTGTTGTGTGAATTAAGATGCATGTTCTTCCTTCTGTTTTCATATGATGTACGCCTATGACCTCATTACTTGAATGATTGGTTACAATATAGACCTAACTTAAGGAGCCTGTCTTCATCATCACCCCCTGAGACTCAACGGTTAGGCTGAACTAAGTGATTGGGTTGGTGAAGGGTTGGGGTGGTTTGTGAGCTTCACTTTAGAACTGATTTAAACATTTCTGTCCTAATGGCTTGAACAGAAAGGGCCCAGAATATCTGAAAGGGGAGAAATCCTAAAATATTCCCCTCAGCCCTAGGTAAGTACAGTAGGCCACAAGGGCTTTGGATAGGTGTAGCATGCCTTGTACACCTTCCTCTAGATAAGCCACTCTTTATCTAAGTCCCTGCCTTTGTCATTTAGTGGTTATAATTTAATTGTGCCTTCCAACTCTCTTGATAAATCTGTCACCTCCAGAATATGACAAGGATGCCAACTGGCCAGTAATGCTAACCTTTGGACATTGAGCCTACAACTACTCGGAGATAGCCCAATGACCTGAAGTCTGTAAGGTCCTTCCACTTATGGGAAGGACACCTTCTATGCTTCCCTCCCTTTCAGAGAACCCCTGACCCAAGTGTAAGTAGGACAACATCCATATCCAGCCAGAAGAAGCTATAAGAAGATGAGACCTTTGCCCATTGTCCTTTATACGATTATAAATTTGTCTTTATATGATTATAAAGGGGTATATATGAAAGGGGGGCATTTGTAATAGGGTGCAGCCAGGAGGACCCAAATAGGGATTTGTAATGGGGTCCAGAATTCAGGGTGTCCAGTTTGGCAACTGACCTCAGGAATGGTCATTTAACATACCTATAGCTTTTAACTGTTTTAATGGATTTGTTAAAGAGCTGTGGCCATGCTTTGAGCCAGGAGGATGGGAGTGACTTCAACCCATGATGTAACTGGCAACTGTAACCTGGCAACTCCCCCTGGTTACAGTGCCTGTGTGAGAGCTTGGAATTGATTGGCACCACACCATGGGGCCACACTTGCCCAGACTTACTATGGCAGCCCAGAAAAGCTAGAAAAATATGGGAATGCTGGCAGGTGTAGCCAGTTGTGGGAGGAGTCTGAAATGAGCCTGCATAGGAAGATTGGTGCTGGGATTTAAACTGAGGCATGGCAGCCATGCTAGGTGGGGACAATGAGTCTTTGGGGTGCTCCCTTTGCCACATGGCTTAGGAAGAAGCAGAGACCTTGCTGGGAAGAAAAGTGCTGAAGGAACTCTTGCTGGTGGGCCATTAGAAGGTGCCACATGGTTTTGGATTAACTGGAGATCTTGGTGGTGACACAGCTGTTGGTGCTGGGAACTGAGGGAGGCCGGCCAGCCAAGCACAGATTACTGGGAAGAACTGGGGGCTACCTCAGCCACGGACTTCTGTTTCTTTTCCTGAGATATGGTGCCCCAGACTGGGCAAGGGGGGAAGGAAGGACTGTGTACATTTGTGGGCATTCTAAGGGACTTTGGGATTTTAGTGAAGACACCATAAAGTTATTACTCTTAAGTCTGTATAACTTTTAAATAAACAATTTCTTTCCTTTTCACCAGTCTTTGACATTGAGAGCTATAATTTCCTGGCAGTGGGCAAGGTGATCCTAGTACAGGGGGACACCAAGAGAGGGGAGGGTCCATTCAGTAATAGTATTTTGTCCCCATGCCCTCCCCCTGCCACTAGCCTCTTCTGTAACAGGACCTCATTATCCAGCCAAATGGTTGGTCAGCAATGCATCCTTTGTATTGATTTATGACCAAGAGGGGAATGTGTGGAAGAAAAGGGGCCAGATATTAACCTGACAATCTCAGGGGAGGCCTGTGAGAAAGCCTTACAAACTCAGACCTAAAGTAACCAAAAAGAATGGTCTAAAATGAAATCTTATTAACTAAAAGGAGTTCATGTTGGGTAGCCATGTCCTGGGCCAGTAGTTTTCCCTAACAAAGGTCAATGTTTACCTTATCTGAGCCTGCCTATTTGTCTTTTTTGCGATGATGATAATGGACCCTTGGAATGTCAAGGTAACTTCCTTTTTTTCTCCAAAACCCTTGGACACAAGGTGATACCACAAACCTCCTCATTGTTACTGTTACCACATTAATTGTTGACTGTTAACTGTCCTGTACCCATCTATATAAAAGAAGTTTGTCTATCATTTTACCTTTGATTCAGTCCCAGAGATCCACCCTCCACTTTGCTTTCTCCTGCCTCCCCTAATCTATCACCTCTGGACTTCATGTGACCCCCTTATGGCTCTTCCTTTTATTCTAGTGTACAAAGTAAGGTGCTAAGTTGCCATTCTCTGGAGCATTCCTCAAACTGTTCAGGTGTTGCTTCTCAGAAATTGTCAGTTTGGCTCAAATAAACTCACCAGAAATTCTCTACAGGATTGAATGTTTCTTACATTGATAGTTCCAGCAAAGAAAGAATGCAGAGCCAGACTTAGACTATAAGAGAAAGTTTATGTAGAAAGTTACAGAGGCAAGAGAAGGTCCTTTGGAAGAAATGGGCTCAGGAAACATGTTAAAGAGGCAAAAGCAGGGCCTTTGGAGCTTAGGAGGGAGAAAGATAAAATAATGCTCTACGGTCAGGGTTGTGTGGGGAAGAAGGGATGGGAGAGAGCTCTGAGTCCTTTGTCTTGAGGGTTTTGAAACCTGGGACTTTAGGGGAGGATAGCAATAGAATATTCATCTGCTTTATTCTGCTGTGCCCACATGAGGTTTATTCCCCTGACTCCATCCGTCCTTTGGTGTGGTTGGCACAAATGGCACTAACCATATTTCTGTGATCCATCTCCCTAAGTAGGTGATTTAAGCTATTTACCTTCTGTTTGGGGAGGAGAAGTGCGAACCATTCATCCTTAAGTGTCTTTAGTTAGGGGAGATAGGATTTTGAGATTTACTAGATGGCCATTTAACTGTCCCTCTTAGTTTCCTTGTTCCACTTGTCTTGGCTGACTGGCCTGTCCCAGAAAGACACAAATGTGTGTGAGTGGCTCCTTGTCAGGAATGAACATTCCCTTGCTTGTGATAGCTGAAACGGTCACTGGGTGGTAGGAATTATAACATTATGGGACCACCATTGTATGTATTAGGTTGACCATTGACCTCGTCAACTGAGAAATAATATCGATTAGATGTTTCATTGCCAAGAAAAGATTTCTTTGGGGAAAAAGAGAAAGATTGAGATAGACCCGGGATTAGGCCCTGAATGGAGTAATCAGAGGTAGAGCCCCAAACCGCTCCAATGGCGGAGGTGTCTGACAGTCAGGCTTCTGCTTACACAGGAGCTGCAGCGGTTGGCAGGGACCCCCTCTAGAGGATCTGGGGTCACTGGGGGAGGCCCAGGGCTTCTGTTCCCCTCCTTTAGGCTCTGGGCCTGTTCTCCAAGTTTGCTTCACAGCCACACTCCTGGCCTCAGCCTGAGTCCTTTCCTGAGCCAGGCCTGGGGATTTGTTTAAGTTATTTGGCCCATTTTGCCTGCCCTCTTCCAGAGGCTGTTGCTGAAGGAGCTCTCACCACCAGCCACCTCCACCATAGACCAGACAGTCCCAGACGGGCTTGATCCCTATGCTGATAAGTCAGCCCAAGCTCTCTCCCCAGGCCTACAAGTGTTCCGCTGATTTGCTGATGATTTTGATATATTGCTGACCTCCACAAAAGCAAGAGTGTTGTCTTATCTACCCTACACCACATATCCCTCAGCTTGAAGAGGCTTTGAAATTTGGATGCAGAGGCTGGATTAAATTTCCCTCCCTACTTCTCTACACAAACACACTTTAGCACTACCTGTGAAAACTCTAAATATGTATACCCTTTGGCAACAATTACATTTATAGGAATTCTTCTTAAAGGGTATCTTCCCCTAACTGTACAAAGAAATATGTGTAACCGAGGAGTTCATTACTGTGGACACTGCAGATTGAATTAAGTGATGTGTTCATGCAATGAAAAAGGAAAGAGATTTCAGCCAGTGCATGCAGACATTATAAGCCACATGCACACTGTGTGTGCATGTGCCAAGTTGGAGAAGTACACATACGATACTAATAGGAGGGAAAGGGAGTTAAGGAAAGGGACAGCTACCCCCATAGAGCTTTACTGTGAGCATAGAGTTTTTCTGGCAGGATTCTTGTGATGAAATGGCATTCAGCATTCCTCCCAGAACCCCTAGCTCCTCCCACAGGTCTGTGTTTATTTAATCTCTCTGTCATAATATTCATCATCCAAATGCCATCACTCACTCTGAGAGAATGCCCATTCTCCACCCAAGTGAATATGTTCTGTGCAGTACAATTTATAAGATCAGAATCTGGGGAGCTGCCCAAAGGCCTGACTGAAGAGGAGGAAGAGCATGTTTTCATGTGAAGCTGTGAAAAAGTTGATGTGTGGCCTGCGGAGACTCAGGGCACTGCAGTGGAAATGAGTAGGGGAAAGCAGATTCCATGACACAACTGACTTCAATGATTTATGCTCATAAAGGCTTAAGAGACAAGTACCTGAAAAATTGGAGAGTGAGCCTGAGTTTACAAAAAGAAAGGACACCGTGACCTTTAAAGTAGTATAAACTCACAAAGAGACACCAAGCTCCACTGAATGAAACTGTAGGGTTATATGTTAGGGTGATTGCGTGCCTCCTGGTATGGGCCCACAGGGTCCATTGGCTCTCACTGTTTTTATTTACATGCCTGCCCCTCAGCTTTTTGGTGTCCCTTGTCTTCTACCTCATTTTGGCTTACTTAATTCATTCATTACTTTGGCAATGCATTCTAAAGGTGTCCCTTGCTCTGAGTAGCAGGAGGTCTTGTTGGAGGTTCATCTTACACTTGGTTTCTGTGTAGTGAGAGAGGTACCTGGGTCATGGTTGGTTGGAAGTTGATGCAGAAAAGGTAGGCTCCCCCACCACCACGTGGTTTGGAGCAGGCCTCTTATGTCTTAAGATCTGGGTCAGTCAGCAGAGTTGAAAATTCCACAGATGTGGATTCTAGAAAGGGAAGAGGGCTATCATCTGAAACATCAGGGGCATAAAACTGGTTAGGTCCCAACACTGCAAATTTGGACCAGCTGTGGTGTTGGTTGTGTGGGGGCTGATGGAGGTGAGGAGTAGCAGCTGCTACTGGGAACACAAGAAAGACAGAGTCTTGTCTGAGCTCAAAACTGAGGAGTCTGTTTCCTGTGAAGAGCTCAGCAGCAGTGCTGCAGCAGCAGTGAGTCTTTGGCACCTGTTCCATTTCCTCAGGAATAGCAGAGTCTGAGGGATGCACCCCTTGGACCACAGGAGCCTCACAGGAGAGAAACTTTCCAGGATGTGCTGGACTGATGGTCTGGTTGAGGGTTAGGGTGAGGGGTGAGGGGAGATGGGAGGTGGTTTTAAATTAACTGCTTTAGCCCTGGCTGGTGTGGTTCAACAGACCGAGTGCCGGCCTGTAGGCCGAAAGGTTGGCAGTTTGATTCCCAGTCAGGGTACCCACCTGGGGCATGGGCCAGGTCCCCAGTTGGGGGCATGTGAGAGGCAACTGATTGATGTTTCTCTTCTTCTCTTTCTCCCTCCCTTGTCTCCAAACATAAATAAATAAAATATTAAAAACAAAATAAATTAACCGAAGGAAGTGAAACAAGTGTTACAGAGCAATTCACAGTGGTTTGTGGAATTGTGAGGAAGAATAGTTCATAGTTCTAGAAGCTGAATTTGTTCTCATACCTGAGGCTTCACAGAGTTCAAGAATTAATGGTGCTCCGCAGACTGGTGACACTCCACACCAAGATTCCAGATCCCACTGGCCTTCCGGTTGGATGGTGTTACTTCTGCCTCAGCTGCCCCTGTCTATGGACTTTCTTGCTGCCTAGTGGAGGCTGTATTCTCCCCAGTTCTCACTGTGAATCTTGGATAGCAAGGGGTTTATCTCAGAAGATAGCTCCTGAAAATTTCAGAAATATACATATCATCTATGGCAGGAGAATCTAAAGTGAAAACCTAAAAAGCTAGGAAGCTTTTAAAACTGTGATTCTGATGGTGGGTACAAATGAGCTTCTTAACGTTTCTAGAAGCCCACCAAAAATCCCACTTTGACCTGTGCAAGTTAGCAGATGCCACTAAAAGGTTGACTTCTGACCGGGTGGGGCTGTCCGGGGAACCACACCCCTCTCCTTCAATAGCAGTGGTTGGCTGGTATCTACATGTAACTTTTCATTTTTGGTCTCTCCCCAGTTCTTAGCTCAGCTGATGGGGTTCCTGATCAATTTTATAAGCTCCGTGTTCTGTGGCCACCGGGGAAAGCTGGAACTGGATGCTGTCACACTTGCAGTCGCAGTGTGCAGCAGGCTGCTCTAGCACATTTGCATCGGGTGTGCCTGCCATCTGTATTAGTTTCCTCTTGCTGCTGTTAGGAGCCGCCACACTTTGTAGTTTAAAGCTATGCAAATGGATTACCTTGCAGTGCCAGGGTAATCTGAGCTAACTAAAATCAAGGCGTTGACAGGGCCTCGACCTTAATTCTCCCACACCCTGTGACTTCACATGCTCCCACACTCTGGGTGTTAGGACAGGGACATCTGAGAGGGACCATTAGGCTGTCCACCACATCAGTTTTGTTCTACAGCTGGGAGAAGAGAATTGAAAAAGAGGGTTCAGCATTGATGTCAGAAGAAACTCGATCTCTGTCCCCACCCAATGACTTGTATGTCTCACTGAGTCCTACTCTAGAAATGGAACTGGAAGATGATCTTAATATCTAAACCCCAAATCAGAAAAAAACCCTAAATCCTTCCTGGATCTTATATGCAAATCCTCCCAAACCAGTGAGAGATGTCATTGACTTTAACCAAGGCTTACCTGGCTATGCTTGGCCAGCAGGCTCTGGCTAACCTGTTGTTTCAGTCAGCTAGGTATTCTTAGAAAAGTGGACTCAGTGGCTTTCAGCAGTTGTGCTCCTGCTCTCCTCCGCTTCCAATTCCCCTTTGCTCCTGCTCTGAGCAGGCTCACACTCACCTGCCTGCTACAACTAGGCATTGGAATCGTTATCTGTAAACTATGCAAGGCAACTCAGAACTAGTCCCAAGGTATAAACAGATTATTTTGCCTTTAGGGGGCAACATGGACAAACCTTGGCTTAATTATCCTTTTTGTTTTTAATGTTTGGAAGTTTTGGGGAAGACATAAAGGTGCTCAGCTAGCCTCTGGTATCTTCTCTTTGGTCAGAGAAGTACAAGAGAGCTGGTGCAGTGTGGGCTGTCACCCTCGGCATCTCCCTGAAGCTCAGGTGGTGGTAGCAGGTCCAGTCAAGGACAGCATCAGATGTTCTGCCATGCCACTCCCTGATTTGGGGGTTGCTGCCTTGGGCGTCCCAAGGTTCCAGTGATCCCAGGGTTTTGTTGCTGACATGGTCAAGACAGGTACATCTAGAAGGTTTCTGGCATGGCTTTGGCCTCAGAGATTTGCTTCTGTGCTCCCAGAGTCCTTCAGGGTGTTGTAATAAGATGTGCTTGGTCTTGAGCAAGGGCACCTACCCCAAACTGCCATTGTGCCACGCTGCCTTCCCGAGGAAGGATTTGTGTTCCTTTGATATGGGGGAGCAAAATGCTTAGGATTTGAAAAAGAAAAAGGCTGAGTAATAAACTCTGGTCTTGCTCTTTCTTCCCTCTTGAAGCACTGGTGTCCTTCAGTTCAGCAGGCTGGTGGATTTTGGCACGGCTCCAGGCAGAGGACAGAGTCGATTATGGTGACAAGCTGCAGAGACACCTGTAGCTCTGACCCATGCACAGAGAATTTGCCCTCCTGCCTTCCTTGAATTCTGAGAGGCCTCTCCTTTGTATTTTTTTCCAGGTTATCAATGTCACTGGCATCTCTGTGGGATTTGGCTTATCTTCTGCTTGTGACACCCTCATGTCTCAGGTAAATGGAAGCCCCAGGTCACCCTCACGGTGACCTAGAGATCTCTCTTGAGTGCGTCTGGAAGGACCCCAGCAGCAGCAGCAGTCCTGTGCACAGAGGGACAAATTCTTTGATGGCAAATCCTGGAGTGTTTTGCTAGCCATCAATTGCAGCTCTCCTTGCCTGCTTTCTCTGAAGTGTGGCTGGGTGCCTGTCTCAGGCCTGTGGAAGTGGTGTTTATCTGCTTGTCTCCCTTATACTACATTTTGACCACATAGGGGACATTTTGTAAAAGTCCCTTCTTTCACTTTCTACACAATTGAATTTGGGATAGTCTGTTGTTCTCAAACTTTAGTGTTCATCCAAATCCCCTGGGGGCTTGTTGAGACACAGGTGGGTGGGATTCCCCCAGGGCATGCTTGTAAATGATGAATGACCAGGTGTTGGTGGAAGAGTGTCCCTAAAACTCCTGGGGATGAGAGCCCAAAGAAAGGCAGATGATCCTGTCACTGCATCTAGACCTTATGAAGGGAATTCACAAGGGAGGCATGCCTCTGGTGGCTGGCACGTCCACAGGGATGTCCTCTGCCCCATGTGGCAGGCACAAAGGGGTCACATAGGGCAGGGCAGGATGGATGGGGCACTGTGGTGAGACCCACCCTAGACAAGAAGAAGTGTTGCATGCTGCCCCAGGCAGGGTGAAGCCTGTTCTAGGAACTGGCATCCTGTGAGGCATAGAGGAGGGGTCTGTCTGACAGTCTGTGAGGAGACTTAGGGGGACACACAGCATGGAAGAGTCTCTTCTCCACATTTCCCCTTATGACCAGCTCCTACAATGTTCCATATCTCCCTCTTCCCTGAGGCACCCTGAGAGATCAGCAAGGGGCTTCATCTGTAGAAACAGCTCACTTAGTCACCAATCGGACATGTTGGGGACATAGTCCACAGCAACAATATAAACACGTGCAAGAAAAAGAAAGAATTAAAAGAAGCAATCCAAGTATTAGTGACAGTGTTTTCCATCACACCCCTCAGGTCTGGATGGAATGCTAGGTCCCCTAGACTCGGGGGTTCACTTGAACTTTCATGTGTTAATGAAGAAGAAATGTTAGCAGATTCATCTGATATAAAAAACACAACATTCAGCTGGGGTGCCCCCCTCAATAACTATTGGATGCCACAGGAGCAGCAGAAGTCTAAGGTCAGAAAGACCAACATTCACTAGGGACTTGAATTGGGTGGTCTTCTTCTAGCGTGTCTCCGTGGGCATCAGGATGACAGGGTCCCGTGAGAGACTGAGAAGTTCCTCCCCATCCAGGGATATGAAGTAACTGACCCATCCTAGCAGAATGTCCCTTCACAGATTCCAGTAATAGCCCCTGTTCCAGGGACAGTAGGTCTTGGTGCCCTCATTACCATGGCCCATTGGTCCCTGGCAAGCACCTGGGCCATTGCTGTACCTTTCCCATGTGAGCTCCTCAGTCTGAGTCCCTAATCTGGCCTATGGGGTAATAGGCCCCCCAGGTTGGTCATTTAAGTATGTTAATGCCTGGAAAAACACCTTGATCTGCCTGGCCAAGGTCTGTCTTCTAGCTAATAATTTTGTCTATGGCTGAAGGACACCATTTTTCTGTTCTACCCACCCAGATGATTGTGGGTTACAGGGAAGGTGGGACCTTCATTCAGAATCATGTTCTTCTGCCCATTCCTGTACATCACGTCCTTTGAAATGTGACCCCCCACTGTCACTATTTGATGGGGGGTACCCATACACAGTACTCAGATTTTTCTAGTCCCTTTATGGTAGCAGCCTGATTAAACTGCCAACATGGGGAGGACTGAGTAAAACCACATTCAGTGTGTATATACGCTGGAGCTTATTTGGAGCCTTTACTCAAGGGGAAAGGCCAATGTCATGAGTTTGCCAGTCCCTTACCCATCGGGAGCTGCAGTGAATAGACAAACTTGTGCCGGTGTCTTTGCTGACTCCAGAGCTGCTGCCCTTAGCTTAAGCTGCAGCCTCTCCTCCTTAGCTATGTACCATCCTACTTGGGCACTAGGCTGTCCACTTCTTCAATGTACCCAATTTTTAGTGTCCATTGACAGGCCAGTTGCTATGGCACATCTTTTTGCCAATGCATCTGCTTCCCAATCACCTGGCAGTATAGACGCCCGTGGGCAGGGACATGGGAAACAATAAAATGCCTTTGGCTTTTGCAAGTGAGCCCAAGTATCTTCCCACATCTCTTGTCCCTGTAAAGGTTTGCTCACAATTGTTCACTCCTCTGCCTGTCATTGTCAGAGCCACAGAGTTAATCCCTCAGAGCAGACCAACTGTCAAAACCAGGGTCAGTGGCCAGGTTCTAGTGTGATTACTAAGCAAACTACTATTAACTCAGGCCATTGGCTGCTGGGATTTTTCCTGTTTGCATTCAGATAGTGCCAGTGGGCCACTGCACGGTGATAGCACCCAAGTAGACAGATTGCCCGGTCAGAGCCATGAGGCTCTGGCGAGCATTTCCCCTCCTCTTTTGCAGGTCCAGGGGCTGACACAGGGATGGGAGAACAAGCATTTTGAGGTTCTCTATATTCCACAGGACCTGGTAGCTGCTGAGCCCACTAGTGACAGGGCTGTCTGACAGAGCACTCCTCTGTTGTAAGTGGGCATGCATTTCCTTAGCATAGGAGACTGAGCCATGGCAGAGGTGGGTCCATGGAGCATATTGTTGATCCACCCCTTGATGGGAAGGGAAGTTCTTAGGATAGATGGCTTTCTACCAGGGTGTATCTGTTCTCTGCCCCTTCCCACAATTGGAACCAAAATCTAAAAGGCACTCTTTCTTTTTGCCATAATGCCCAGTTCATGCCTACCAGGGTTACTGAAACATCCAATTCAAATAGCAGCCCCACCTGTAAGATCCCCAGTGCTAATCTGTTTGACCAGCATTTTTGCTTTCTCAGAGATGGCCTATTCTGTCCCTGGTCCCATATACGTTCCTTCTTAGCCGGGCGTTGTAATGGGCAAAGGCATTGCGCTAAATGGGGTATAAACTTCACCAACACCACAGAATTACCATAAAAGACTGTACCTGTTTCACATTTTATGATCCTGGATAGGCTTGTATTTTACCCATGACAGCCTTGGGGACAAAGCAGGTCTTACCCAACCACATGGTTTGGCTCTACAGAACTTTGTTGTGGTGCCCAAACCTTGAATGCTCTGTGAATTCACTGCATTGTCAGTGGCCTGGGAAGGCCTGAGGGGTTTTTTGCAGTTGAGGCAAGTATCATGGGTTCACATTTATGTCATCTCACAGAGGTTGTGAAGGAAATGATGACAGGTCCCAAGCCACCACCCCATGGCATGTGGTAGGGTGATGTGAGTAGCCTTCAGGGAGCACTTAGAAGGCATACCAGTGGGAAACACAGTTAGAACAGTGTTTTTGCTAACTCTGAGGATATTAGCCTAGTGGCAGGAGATGGCTTCCCTTCATCCAAAATATATACATGCAACAAGGACACTTGGACCACCCATCCTGACTGGCAGTTCAATGAAGTCCAGTTTAAACGAATTAGGAGGCATGAAGGAATGCAAAACATGAAACACAGGCTTGCCAGGGAGCCCAGAGAACAAGGCAGCCATCTGGGTCCCCCAGCCCCAACTCTTTGTTTAATTTATAGCCATCATTTTCCCACCTTAGCATCTCTGATTTGGGAGCAGACTGTAGCCATTTTACCAGGACTCCAGGATGGCAAAGTCTGGCCCTGAGGGGTTACTTTTGCAGAAACAGAATGGGCTCCCTCCACATGTGCCACTCTGATACTCAGGTCCGGTCCTTTTAGTGTGACAATCAATTTTGATGACAGACTTCTTATGCTAGGATAGGTCAGATTTCAAGGAATTTCACAAAAATTCTGGGAAATGTATATACAAATTCAACATAAAGAAGGGTCAACGTTATTTTTTATTTGACAGTGTTTCCCATGTAATTTCACTATAGCAGGTAAGCCTAATTTAATATTTTTTATAAGGAGAAAAAACAATCTTTTAGGCATTCCAGGGACCTCTAGAGTACCTCAAAGCTGTTTAATTAAAAGATTTTAATTTCGTATCAGATTACTCTTGATATTTAAATTCATGCACTTGGTTAATTCAGCTTGACCACCCAGAATTTCTTTTTTGCAGATTACTTTTTAAAAGCATTCTATTATACAACTCTCCTTTTTAACATTCAGATATTAAGTCTGAATATTACATTTTGTCCTGCTTTTCCTCTTTCCATTCTGAAACAACCAGCCTCTTTTTAGAAAAAAGTTACTTTCCTTTCGCTCAAAAATATTTTTTATACCTTTTCCTTCCTTTAACTGAAAGCGTATATTTTCCTTTCATCTTAATTAGAATTCTTAACCCTTAGATAATTCTAAGATATGTCTGTTCCACATAAGCCAACAAACTTAAACTAGCTTTTATTTGCTAAAGATTAATCTTATATCTTGTGAACTTAAAAAGCATTTGGGTTAGTTTCTGCATTTCTTGGGATTTTAGACTAGCCAATCTTTATATGTGCTTATTTGTTTTTGTTTTGGTTTTTTAAAATATATTTTATGGATTATGCCATTACAGTTGTCCCATCCCCCCTTCATTCCCCTCACCCTGCACACCCCCTCCCACCCACATACCCCCCCTTTAGTTCGTGTCCATGTGTCATAAGTTCTTTAGCTTCTACATTTCCCACACTACTCTTGCCCTCTCCCTGTCTATTTTCTCCCCACCGTCTATGCTACTTATTCTCTATACCTTCTCCCCACTCTCCTCCTCCCACTCTTCTGTTGCTAACTCTCCACACCCACATTCCACCCATATCCTCTATCTTTTTAGTTTTAATAACTGTGAGTTTGCTGTCCTTTCCCTGTTCATCTTTTTTATCTTCTTTTTCTTAGATAAGTCCCTTTGACATTTCATATAATAAGGACTTGGTGATGAACTCCTTGAATTTGATCTTATCTGAGAAGCACTTTATTTGCCCTTCCATTCTAAATGAAAGCTTTG